AATCAAATGCTTCTTCTTTTTCTTTTTTTGTTTTATTTATCTTTTTCACGGACTATACACGATGATATAACGAATTAGTCTCTTGGCACAATAACCAATTTTGAGCCATACTCGTGGTCTAACCATACTCGTAAGCAGCAAGTTCATTACTCTAGTTTAAACAATGTATGCGAGCAGAGTTGCCCGCGAATAATTAACGCCATTTCATTTTATCTCGCTATCAAGAATCGACGGAAAAATTTTCACGTGACAGAAAAGGAGAATTCGCATAATTTTTTCCAATGATACAAATTTATGACCTTATATTGATAAGGAGAACCTACATTACATAAACACATTAAAAATCATATTATTTTTAATGAAGGTATAAAATTAATTATTCCCTTATTAATCTATTAATTTGATTATAAATTATAATTTTGTTGTTAATATTATTCTTATTAATATAATCCCTATATGAACAATTGAAGAAATAGCAACAATTAACTTTATATCTAACTGATACATATAATTCTTAAAAATAATATTCCAAATAAATTAATTATTACTAAATATAAATAATTAAATATTAAATACTTAAATTTATATAAATAAGTAAATATTAAATATTTATAATTATATAATTGAATATTAAATATTTATATTAAATATAAAAATATAATTATTAAAAAAAAGGAAACAAATGATGATAAAAGTGTGGTATGCCACTATACGGAAAATTATACGCTGGTTTCGTCACGATCTCACTATGCAACTAACTTCTTCAGAAAAGTTTTAACTCGAGGACTCGTTCGTCTCCTTCGCGACTCGAAACAATATAAGTCACGACGGGCGTTGAAAAACCGATTTTATCTCCGATACAAGTTCCTCAAACTAGAAACTTTCTCCCTTTTGTTCTACCCTCGACAGTCGACCCGTGTTTCTTCGCTTCGCCATCAATTTGTACGGCCGCCGTCCCGTGGGACGCAGAGGACAGCGAAATTATGCAAGAGAAACCACGCCCCTGTGTCTTGTTCCTCGTCTATTTGCGTACTCGACAAATTTATTTGCCGCCCGAAATGTCCTCCGTTTAGTTATCGTCATTGTCTCCGAATCCTATGAATCAGCATTGGTTTCACGTCTCTCCACCGGCGAAAAATCATGAATTTTTCACGGTGGTATGTATATGACACGCGTTGCATCGTCGCGTCGGGTTTCTAAATTGGAACTCGCATAGTCGCGACGGAATGATTCATACAGCGTACAGACTGATCCATGGAGATCGTTTCATTACAAATTTCCCGCGTATTTCCATTTCCACGCGTCCGCTATTTTTGCTTCATTGGCCGATACCGCAGATTTTGCTCCGTAATTGATACAACTGCGCAGATCAGTAGAAAATGATTGATTCGTGGTATAAACTTTATAATATTATAACTATAATTATAATTTTATAATATCATAACTATAATTATAACGTAATAATATCATAACTATAATTATAACTTAATAACATTATAACTATAATTATAACATTATAATATTATAACTGTAATTATAACTTTATAATATCATAACTGTAATTATAACTTAATAACATTATAACTATAATTATAACTTTATAATATTATAACTGTAATTATAATTTTACAATATCATAACTGTAATTATAACTTAATAACATTATAACTATAATTATAATTTTATAATATCATAACTATAATATTATAACTATAATTATAACTTAATAACATTATAACTATAATTATAATTTTATAATATCATAACTTTATAATATTATAACTATAATTATAACTTTATAATATATTATAACTGTAATTATAATTTTATAATATTATAACTATAATTATATCTTTATAATATATTATAACTGTAATTATAACTATAATTATAACTTTATAATATATTATAACTGTAATTATAACTATAATTATAACTTTATAATATATTATAACTGTAATTATAACTATAATTATAACTTTATAATATATTATAACTGTAATTATAACTATAATTATAACTTTATAATATATTATAACTGTAATTATAACTATAATTATAACTTTATAATATATTATAACTGTAATTATAACTATAATTATAACTTTATAATATATTATAACTGTAGTTATAACTTTATAATATTATAACTATAATTATAACTTTATAATATAAACTATAATTATAATTTTATAATATTATAACTATAATTATAACTTTATAATATTATAAGTATAATTATAACTTTATAATATTATAAGTATAATTATAACTTTATAATATTATAACTATAATAACTTTATAATATTATAACTATAATAATTATAACTATAATTATAACTTTATAATTATAAATACCGACGATAAACTTTCCTGTTTCTATATAGATACATATCTCAGTTTACGTGGCGCTATTTTTGACGATTTGATACTTTCGGAAGAGAATGTTAAAAAATTATTAATTACTAATGTACTGTGAATATTTATTTCTTCTTTTTCAATTCCTCCCCCCGCTGTCAATCGTTTCCTCTTACTATAAAAAAAATTTTATAAAATACTATTTTATTTCAGTTAACAAAAAAAAAAAATTCTAAATACTGAATTATTAGCGACGTGAAACATTAATTTTAACCTCCGGACACAATAAATCTCAAAATTATATATTATCCCGTGATCTTTTCACATACAAAGGCACTAGAATTCCGTATTTTATAATTCTCAATGCATTTTAGACTAGAATTTCTTAGTTCGTGAATCTATAAATTTTGGTAAAAAAAAAAAAAAAAATCTACAAGCGGTTTTACTTTACTTTATTCGACTAACGTCGTGTTAAAAAATTAGCACGTTTCCCGCATATAATGTACCGAGAGCCATTAAAGTCAAGGTAGAGAATGATATGATTTTAATTGCTCGTATTATGCGGTATTTATCTTATCTGACGTAATATTATTGGCGCAAAGGTCACGAGATTTGTCATCTTTCTCTTCGTTGACGTGTTTCTGTCAAAAACTAGATCCGTTACATCATTGGAGAAAGACGAGACACAATCGGACGTACCCACCGATATGTACGAGGCTCGCATGCAAATTCGACCTACGACCAGCTGGTCCGCTCGCGTTACAAGTTACCAGACCAGCTTTCCTCCAAGACTGGTCAAGGTCAAACGAGGTCATACGTTCAGAATATCGCTATGAAGAACGATCCACGCAGATCGTTTACAACATACACGGTGTCCATAAAGTCTCTTTACAATTTCGAAAATTTATCACAAGGACAAATGAAAAGACAGATAAGTGGAAATTACTACAAAATGAGACGTATATATTCAAGTTTTCTTTTGCCTCATTTAATAATAATAGTACATCAAGACGGTGCTCGATTTCTTGCCAATGGTGGTAATGGTTTCAATCATCCTCTGCTTTAGATTAGTGATGTCCCATACACGATATCTTTAACGTAACCCCATATGGGTGTCCATAAAGTCTCTTTACAATTTCAAAAATTTATTACAAAGGCAATTGATGAGACATCTTCGTCAGGTTTGTTCCATGTACTCAGTGGTTATCAAGGATTTAATCACATTGCATTGCAGGTACTCTGTTGATGAATAAGATACTGTTAAATGAACGCCTTACAAAGTGGCTACTCCTCAAGAGAAGGCACAGTGTGTATTATGGTTTATTACAGAACTAAGTGTGGAAAAGATCCACCGTCACGTCCATCAATTCGTGCATGGCACAAGATATTTATGGAGACAGGGACAGTGTTCGATAAAGGGAGAAGTGGACGAAAACATCGATCTTGTAAGAAATCGAGTATCGTCTTGATGTGCTTCGTGCAACTAATGGTGTCCATATAGAGGTATATTAAATGAGGCAAGAAAAAAAAAAAAAAACTTAAATATATACGTCTTATTTTGTAATAATTTCCACTTATCTGTCTTTTCATTTGTCATAAATTTTTGAAATTGTAAAGACACTTCATGGACACCCTGTAGACTGAAAAAAAATTCCATCGTACGAACGTTCTCGTGCTCTTGGAAACTGAAACTGTTTAGAGTAGGTTAATCAAGAAAGATAAAAGAAGAAGCAAATATGCACTTCGGAAAATTGAATCTCTCCAGTGTTGATTTTTTTGTCCACGGTGGCCGATAAATTTCTCGAGGTTGGCCACGCCATCGTCGTTTATATACCGGCACGTCCGCGACGATAAAAATGTAAACGGTAATCGGATTAAGGAATGCACCAGCTGGCCGCGAGTCGAGCCGTACTGGTGAACGGAGAAAAATTCATTAACGTCACACCGTTAATCACGCTGCGATCGAACGTCAAAACGTGGGCGCCGCGACTAATTACAGAAATGGGCTTCTAATAAACGAGAGAGGTTCCGCGTGTAAGCCTGCTACCCCGAAATGTCAGTTCGAATATAACGGTTTAACATTCTCGTGATGGATGTTCGGCCCTGCAATTAACAATGTCTTCTCGAGTAATTATTATCAAACGATTATCAAATCGAACGGTCTTAAACACTCCACTGATAGCGGTTTTATCTCTTCCATCTCTTCTGGAAACATTCTGCGTCTGATCGAAATCAATCGTCAGAAAATTACGGAGCCAAATTGCGATCGTAAATTACGTTTACCAAATTCAATCGAATTCGCGATGACGCGACCTCGAGCATTAATTATGCGAGAATGCATTGCCGGCGACGAAACGGAAGAACAGGTAACCCGAAAGAAAGAGAAGAGCTATTGTCGCGTGACCTACATACCAAAAATCGTAGCGGTTGATTCGATTGCGACACGATCGTTAGAGTGCAATATTCCTTAGAAGGCTTGTTCGAAGGAGCCAGTTTGAAACGCGATAACGGGGCCTAACCAGCTACTACCAGTCTCTCTCGCGTCCCTCTAGGACGGCTATATACGAGAGAATTCCCATAGCGTCGTATGGAATGTCACCGCTGCCATTTCTTGGCTGGCTGATCGGCTATCTAACTTCTACCTGGCAATTTCTCCGAGTGGAACCACGACCTCCCGTGACCGCCAGCCGATTCAGGAGAACTGCCGATCCGGTCCTTTCTCCCGGTGAAAAGAAACATCTCTATCGTATAACTGAATCCGCGATCTTCATCTTGCGAGAGACGAAATTGTCGCTTCGATCGGCGGCAACGTTTCTACCTGTTTACACCATGCGAAATAAAAAGCGATCCGGCGGCAAATGTCCTCGACAGACGGAAAAAAATCCGATGGCGGATCTGCGAATTGGGAGAGACAGAAGACAAGAAGGCTGCGGCCAGAAGAGATGCGAATAGAAGGTTACGGTAATAGCTATCGAAAGAAAGAAGGTCAAGGATACCATCTCCGAGGCGTAAAACTCGATTACCGTGCATGCAATACGGTAAACCTGCTGACGAAACGAGCGGACGAATGGCTCTTCGATACGTAGCGTTTCCTTTCTCTCTCGCGATCTCGAGCGCACACGAGGCTACATGAAATTATCGAAGCCTTTCGATCGAACCGTATATTCGCCTTCCCTTCCCTTCCAACACACCCAGCGTCTTATCGGGAGGTAGCTCTGGAAAAAAAATACAGTCACGTCGATGCTCGACAGACTATGCTAGCGTCTGACGCATCGGTGATATCCAATATCGCCGATGTTTCTCCTTAATTACCGATCAATAAATAGCCGCTTGAATCATTCAGATATATTGATTCGAAATTGATTGTACAGTAATCCGGACAAGGAGTGTATTTATACAAGGATGATTCTCGTTTCGCATTTATCTTTCCTCAGCGATAACTGTCGAACAGAGTATGGGCATATTTTATTCGAACAACGAATAACGAATAAATCTGTCAAATTTATTCGTGAATAACGAATAACGATTTTATTCGAACAAAGCTTACTCGAACGTGACTTTATTCGTTATACGGTGTTCGATGATTTGCAACGATATAAAAATCTCGCCTAAAGTAAACAGATTGAACGATAAAATGTTGGGACAAAAAGTTGCACTAAAAACAAATTTATTAAATAAACCAAAATTGTGAAAAAAAGGACACCTGACTCTTTTTTCTTTACTATTTCAGTAAATATCTCGAATAAAATTTTATTCAAACAATTTATTCGAACAAAATTTTATTCGAAGAATTTAGTCGAATAGAATTTTATTCGAAGAATTTATTCAAATAGAATTTCATTCGAAGAATTTATTCGAACAATGTCCAACTGTGCTGTCAAACACGTTGCTCGACATACGAGTCTATCGAAGCCTCTCTTTCTCAGCCTGAAGAAAAATCGACCATTGAAAAAAAATCTAACATTGAAACTGTTAAAGTCATCATTGGTAGGAATTTATAGGAATTTTATTGTTTTACGATTATTTATCGCTGTATCATAAATCTTCTCCTACTTCAACTGTTTTAATTTCTCTGACACAAGTTTTACTGTTCTAATATGATCTTTAATTTGTTTTTTTCTCTTTTTCTCTTGTTTCTTTTTTTTTTTTTT